CATGTCCATCAATCAAAAAATAATTTGTAAGTTGATTTATTGATTTGGTTACTTTGCAACAAATCCAACAGGATGTAAGGGACACCAAAACGAAAATCCACCAGTTTCTTGTCCTGGGCAAAATCAATTCCAACGTTGCTCTCAGAATCCAACAATGCATGACCAAAACACGCATTCTAAATTCGAAACAAGATATTCGACTACCAAATTTGAAATTACCAAAGAGAGCCATGTTATTCTACCACCAATGTATAACAAATCATGAGATCGTTTGAAAGAAAGACGCCTTGAAAATAAAAGAACAAAAACTCGATTGAGGACAATTAACGAATAGACCCCATCAACAATTTGCCGATCGATAAACCCTACCGAATTAAACTTAAATCCATCAACAGAATCACGATGCCTTCAAATATTCTCTATATCCCCCGTTCGAACTTCTTATGCAATCACTCAGAAATCAACCAAACAAAGATAGGAGAATTGACGAACTGCACCCCAATATGTATCAAGAAGCGCAACAATAAGAGTGAATGGGGGAAAAGTACCTTCAAAAACAGAAGATCGCGGGGTGAAAAACCCTAGGGGTAGGAGTCGAGCGCCGAGGATCAATGAGGAGTCGGATCGAAATCGGAATCGGAAAAAGAAGAAGAAAAGGGATGAGACTGGGAGAGAAGAAGCGAGACGCAAACCCTAATCTTCTCCACTTTCCCTGATCTGATCGTTATTTAGGCTCTCACTTTCTCTCGATTTTCCAATTTTGCCCTCAAATTTCCCGCGCATTGCAAAGTTGAAAGTTCCCCGTACGCTCCACTGGACAAAGTCGTTTATCTTTTAGTTTTATTTTGGAAAAAGGAAAATATTTTGTAAAATATCTGATCGTGGTGAGAATAAGATTATTCTAATTAAGTATCTCTTAATAGTCATTAATAAGGGACAACTTCTTCCTCACTATCGTTACAACTAAAATAGATAAATATAAAAAAAAATTTAAATAATGAGTTTTCGAATATTAATGGTATTAAAAAGTTAAATAAAACAGTAAAATAAAGTTTAATTCTCTAAATATAAATATAAATATTTTTAATTGACCTCTGAAATAATTTTATAGTTGATAATTTATATGCATTAAAAATTAATAATATTTAATAAATATCTCCTATCCTTATAATACATATTCATGTTTACAAAATATATAAATGATGTATTTATAACAAAGATATTAATAGTAAATATAATATTAATTCATTGCAACATCTTTCTTGATGATATAGAGAAGTATATTGAAGTTAGGAGCATAAAAATTTTCATTATTATGTGTCATTTTTTAATTTAATTTTTTAAGTAAAACTCTTCAACATCATATAATATTTAAATATATAAATAAAATATTAGATAAAACATGGAAATGTATAACACGATATATTTTTTAAGGAAACAAAAACGTTGTTTTATAAAATTATTTTATATAAGTTATAAATAAAAAAACAAGAAATATGAAACGTAAAGAAGACCGTTACTGATTGCTCCCGATTATCGGACTTGATTTAAAATTTAAACCCTTTTTTGAATTTTCTAGGACCGACAATCGAAATGTCATTCGTATTTTATGTTGGAAAGGCCCTCATTTATCATGGGTGGTAAGTCGGATAATAAAAAGATAAATTAGCTCCAAAATTAGATTTAGTAATTAACTATGCAAATCATTAAATGGGCGGTCGAATTAAAAGTAGGGCTAGTAAGCTGGTTTAAATCGTAAAGGTGTATATATATATATATTTGAGATTTCGAAGTTTTATTTCTAGTTTGTTCCTTTAAATTTTTAGAATTATAAATATATTATTTATACAGGTCAAAACTTTCCCCGGTTAAATGATTATTCTCTAATTCTCATACTTCATACTGTTGTTTTTATTTTTATTTTTATAATCTATAATAGTATCTCAAATTTTAATTTTACCATTAGCCAATTTACCTGAGAAAAAAAATGTCTAACTTAAACCTAAGCAACTGACTAATAAAATATAAAGAAAAATATATTTATGGTTCCTGAGGTTTCGAGTAGGTGTCAATTTGTTCACTAAAGTTTCAAAATGAATAATTTTGGTCATTGAGATTTAAATAGGTATCTATTTGGTCTCTTAAGTTTTAAAATAGACATTTTTGGTCCCTAAAGTTTGAAAAATATTATAAATAATAATTTTGTAACATTTGAATGAGGTGACAAGTTAATAGATAACTGGATTTTTATAACTTGTTATTTTATATGAGATGTAAGGAAAAAATTAATTTTTATCTAATTTTATTATCCATGTAGCATTTTCTTTTTTTCTCCCCCTCTTTTTCCTTGTTCTTTCACCTTGTAGCCACCGACCGCTGGTGGTGCTGCCGCAGTCCCTCATCGCCCACTAGAGAGCTCTCCCCACTACCCACCATCGACTTCGTCGGAGAGCTCTCCCCTTTTCTCTCCTGGATGGCGAGGGTAAGC